GAACAGCCACTATCTAAAATCCATGTTTCCCTTTTATTAGGTACCTGCAAAATAAAAGAAATATGTTTTGGTACCCTTTAACTTTTGGGTCCATGAGATTAGCATTTAGGAAACCAAACCCAATAAGAATTTGGTTTACCTACATTGTATGAAAGATAGTTTTTAGAATCACAAATATCCTTTTTGTAATTTGATAAGTATATCTTTCTATCACTTAAACATGCATTTTTAGGAACCCAAATGTAGTTGGATTTTAAAATATTCTTACATGCAACTTTCTTCATATGCATTTTTCTATCATTATGTGAAAATACCTTAGAACTAGCATGCATAGATGTATCACTATGTGCATGATAATTACTTTTCACAAATTTAGAATATAAATAAGCATAATTTTTCTTTTGCATAGAAGAGTATGTTTTCTCATTACTGGAGTTAGAAACATATCCTAATCCTTGTTTACTCTTAGCAGGTAATTGATAAGAAAGTAGATTATCTAGATTCTCTTTTCCTTTGTTAAATTTACCTACATTCATTAATATAGTTTCATATTTGGTTTTAAGACTTTTAACATTATCATCCAAATTTGAAATACGAACTTTAAAGAAATCACATTCTTTTTTAAGAAGTTGATTGTTACTAGATAACTTGTAATTTTCAGAAAATAACTCTTTATTCTTCTCTTTAAGATCTTCTATTTGTGAAGCATAAGGAGAGACTAAAGTGTTATTCAAATTTTCATTTTCATTTTTTAATATTTTAAAAGAAGAATTTAGTTGCTTGTATTTCAAAAATAATTCGTTAAATGCGTCAAGTAACTCATCATGATTACTTACTTGATCATCATCAGATTCATTTGCCATAAAGCACATATTCGCTTGATGATCTTCTTTTTCCTCTTCTTCATCTGAAGATGACTGGTCACTATCATCCCATGTTATCGACAAAGCCTTCTTCTTTTTGTTCTTCACTTGTTCATTCTTGTTCTTTGTGAACCCGTTGAAATTGTTAGAAGACTTCGACTTTAACTTTTGTTGTAGGGGACAATCTTTCTTGTAGTGTCCTGGCTTATTACAACCAAAACAAGTGACTTTGTTAGTATCTTTGAATTTACTAGAAGAGAACTTACCTATCTTCAAGAATTTTCTGAATTTGCGTGTGATTATTTCAAACTCTTCTTCGTCATCGGAATCCTCATCATCAGTAGATGCTTGGAAAGCAAGAACCTTCTTGTTCTTATCTTCATTATCCTTTTTTCCGATCTTCAAGGTGCACCTCGTATGCCATCAAATTCCCTATCAAATTTTCTACTGTCAATGTGGAGAGGTCGTTGGCTTCCTCTATCGTGGTAGTCTTCTTCTCCCAATCCGAAGTAAGAGCCCGGAGGATTTTCCTAACCATCTCCACTTGTGTATAGTCCTTTCCTAACGCAATTAGAGAGTTGATGATGTCGGTGAACCTTGTGAACATTTCACCAATTGTCTCGTTATCGTTCATCTTGAACATTTCAAACCTGTGCACTAAAACAGAAATTTTTGAGTCTTTAACCTTAGAAGTTCCTTCGTGGGTTACCTCAAGTGTGTGCCAGATTTGATTTGCGGTGTTGGAAGTAGACACGCGGTTGAATTCATTCTTATCCATTGCGCAAAACAATGCATTCATTGCCTTGGCGTCAAGATTCGCATTTGTCCTTTCCACCAATGTCCATTCAGAGTATGGAGTAGTAGGCTTGTTGTAATTAGACTCCACTATGTTCCAGAGATCGAATCCTATCGATTGAAGGTAGATCTTCATCCTACACTTTCAGTAGTTGGAACCATCGAAAAGTGATGGTCTTTGAGTAGAATGTCCTTCCTTGAACTGTGATGTAGATGATGTAGCCATTGTTATCCTTGATCAACCTGCTCTGATACCAATTGAAGGATCGCTGCAATGGCACTCAAACACGAAAAGGGGGGGGGTTGAATAGTGTTTATGAAATCTAATGCGGAAACTTTAAATTTCAATAAAATAATATCACAAAGAGTAAGAAAGATCAAACCAATGTGTAGACAATCACAGAAAATTACATACGCAAACACAAGAATTTATACTGGTTCGGTCCTCCAGACCTACATCCAGTCCCCAAGCCTCGCTTGAGATTTCTCCACTATTTCCACTTGCAAAACCGCAAGCACTTGCAACCCGCAAGCAAACAGTACAAACTTGACAATCTTCAATTGCCAATGCCACAACAATCTCTTCTTTCAAGAGATTATCAAACTAAAATAAAATGGTACAACTCTTTCTCTTCCTATAAGCCTTAATGTGTAGATGTGAGTGACTTACAATAGGCTATAGGAATGGTTTTTGTTCTAGAGTAATGGAGTTTTTAATCAAGAACAAAACTAAAAATAACACTCAGTTTTTCTCTTCAAAAATGGAGTTAAGAATTCAAGAAAAACTCAAGTTTATGAAAAGGAATCTTGTTATTTAACTTCAGAACTTAACACTTATTTATAGGCACAAGTTTAGTTCAAATTATATCAAAAGTAACTGCCAAAACGTGCATAAAACATTCAAATCATTTTAAAAAAATGACAGTTAGAAATGACTGTATGGTCGACCAGATTGAGGACTGGTCGACCAGAAAGGCTTCTTGGAACTTGTATGGTCGACCAGATTGACTGTATGGTCGACCAGACAGGCTTCCTGAAAACTGTGTTGTCGAGACTGAAACCTCTGGTTGACCAGGTCCATATCTGGTCGACCAGACAGAGATTTTTCTCAATCTCTGTTTCTGGTTGTTATATCTGGTCGACCAGACATTTCTTTGGTCGGCCAGAAATTATGTTATACATATTTTCAATAGTTTAAAATGTTATTCATTCGTTGATTAGACTTAGGATTATACTTAGAATATTTTTTATGATTTTCTAAGTGATTAGTGAGTTGTGTGTGTGATCAAGGCTTGTACAAAGTTTCTAAAAGAAAAGACAGAATTGACAGAATTACATCTTTTGAACTTCATCTTTTGATCTTTGAAATCTTATCTTTGAAATAGCATTAATAACTTGATTGTTGCTTTGAGATGTATATCTTGAATCTGTAGTAAAATATGTTAGATAAACAATGATTTGTTGTCATCAAAATACAAGAGATATTGTAACATCAACCATGTTCCCAACAGAGACTACTTTTGATGATCAAAATATATAATCTTAGTTTTTAGATATAGCAAACATATTAATGAACTCTCTTATATCATACGAACTATATGTTTTGGGTATTATTTTGTTTTCTCATATCCGGTTTGTGTCCGCATATATATCCGCTTGTATATTTGTATCCGTATATATCAAGTTTTAGCGAATATAGGCATGAGTTTTCCTTACTAGGACATAGCTATATCCGTATCCACATCCATGATTTGTAAGCAGATGCGGATATGATAAGTATCATATCCGAGCCGGACCCAATCCGCTATCGCCCCTACTCATATGTGTTTAGTATCCGGTGGCCTTTTGAGCCTAGTGGGCCTTCTTCGTCAAGTTACTGTTAGGATTTCTTGTTATAATTTTATATAAGTCTCTCTTATGTGACAAAATCTTAGATGAGATTAGGATTTTGAATAAATTACGAGATGGTGAGTATGCATGTATATGTGAGGTCGAGAGAGTCCTCTTGTAATTTTTTTCTTCATAGTGAATTTTTTATATTGTTGCCCAACAGATGTAGGTTGAACTTTTTTTTTTTTTTTTGGTGAATGAAAAATTTTATTCACTACCAAATTTTTAAAGTTTAATACACCTCAAGAAAACTCAGTTTTCTTTAGAACAAAACTGAGTCACTAGTAGAAAATCACGTATTCTAGACGGAATATTCTAGACGGAATTTTTTCCGTCTAAAATGTATTAAACTAGACGGAAATTTTCCGTCTAGAATATTCCGTCTAGAATAAAACATTCTAGACGGAAAAGTCCGTCTAGAATAGTATCCTAGACGGTTCCTTTATTTTTTATTTTTTTTTAAAAATAACCAGATATTCTAGACGGAAATTTCCGTCTAGAATGGTATCCTAGACGGAAATTTCCGTCTATAATACACTGACCAATTTTTTTTAAAAAATTCACCAAATAAACCCGCGAATGCCCTCCTTTCCCCCCTAAAACGAATAATTCATCCCCAAATTCGTTTTCATTTCAGGAACCCCCTCCTACTCCTCCCTCTCTCTCTCCCCCATCTCCGGCGGCGTCAGCATCAACCCCTCCGCCATCTCCTTCAGCAACCCCGACATATTAAACAGCGCCTCCTCGTCCACGAACACCGCTGGCGGCGGCCGCGACGACAATGTCGACGGAGAAGGCATCGGTTGCCTCGGCGAAGACACCACTGGCCTGAACCTCTCCGCCGCCTCCGACGCAACACGCCGTATCTCCTCCGCGCTGCTCGACGCCACACGCGGCAGCATCCACGCGGAGTCTTCGAAGTTGAGCGGGGCCGACTTCCCTCTCAAAGCGATTGCCGCCACGTCGTGGGCTCTGGCGGCCATCTCGGGGGTCGGATAGGTGCACAGCCATATCCTGGTCTTCTTGTTCGGCTCCCGAACTTCGCACACCCATTTCCCGCCATTGCGCTCCCTGACGCCTCGGTACACAGGGTGGCGGGTTTCTAGCTGTGGCTGTAAGTTTTACTTGACTACGCTGTCAAATGTTGAATGTTGAATTCTAGCTATAGCTGTGAGTTTGTGTTTAAATTGAGAAATGCATGCCGACTGTTTGTTAAAATGCTTGTGTGAGTTTATCTGAATGAAATTGATCTTTACTTTGTGATTTATGTTTGTGAAGTGCCTCTACAAAGAGTGGAGAGGCATTTTGGGATGGAGGTTTGATCTACATGCATTCTTGGCAAAATTATGGAAGGAACAAAAATCAATTTCATTCAGATCGGTGAGATATTCATCCTACCTGCAAGAAAAGTATGCATGTACTGACACATAAACTAAAAATGATCTATAATATATGCAATTGGGTTTGAAGGAGAGGGCGAAACTCAATGAGAAGATTGTGGTTAGTTTGAAGTTTCTCACTTGATAGAAGTCTTCACGGGCTCAATTTTTTGTTATCCAATAGGGTTTAGTAATGATGTTGAACAGGAGAGAAGAAGTTAGGAGCGATAGTAGTCATCGGCTATACGAAAGTGTGTTGTATTGCTTTTGCTTAGTTTTATTTTGATCCTAATTTAGTGAATGGCATTACTCTAAACAGAGTGTAATCAATGACGCTGCTTCTGGTTGGGGTGTTGAGTGTATTCGATATGAAATAAGTAAGTCTATCTTTGTTTTCAGTGCATATTACTTGGGTTCAGTTCATATTACTTGGGCGGCAGTTTTGCTGTAATTTTACACATTGTTTTTGTTATTTGATTTAATGCAGTGGATGTAACACCTCCACCTAGAGTATTGACGGCTATGAAAATGCAAGTTGAAGCTGAAAGAAAAAAACGTGCTCAGATTCTTGAAGCTGAAGGTGATTACTTGTGAAAATATATGAGCTTATCATTGACATGTGTCATGTACTTTAACTTATAGACATTTCTTCTGAATGCTACTACAACATTATGGCATTGCAATATTGTCTCGTTTCAATGTGCCCACTATCATGTAGGCTACAAATTTGATTTTCTCATGGAGGCTAGCTGAAAATTATAACATTTTCATCTAGTTCACTTTATTGGCCTTTTGTAATCAAATGTAAACTTATTGATTTCTTTTATATAAACAGGAGAAAAGGAATCACACATCAAAAGAGCTGAAGGGAATAAACAATCCGCAATACTGACAGCAGAGGGTAAGTGGCACCTTCTTTTACTTGTATGTACTAATACTCAAATGCTAATATTGATAATCATGCTGGAATCAATCTATATAATATCTTACATATGTAATATGGAATTTGGTTGTCTAGTCTCATATGGATTTTTCGTGTCTTTCAATTATGCAATCTATGTATGTTTGTAAACTCTAAGCGTGTTTTGTATTTTTATATTATAGCAAACAAGCTCTCTTTTGGATTTTTATATTATAATCATCAAATTGTATTTTTAAGTATATGATATTCCAAAAATGCGTAATAAAAGCTTTCTCCTGGATTAAAAAGTCGAGTATCATGCTATTATAGTACTGGTTTTGTAAACTGTGATTTCCTACCTGTTTTTCCCCCTTCATTCCAATTCTAAGATATCCAGTAATACGAGACTTTGATGTTAATGGTTATCCAACTGATTCTGAATGCATACTATGAAAATCACAATTTATATTAGATCTATGATATTCACATGCAAAATAATAATTTTCTCGGATCAGAAGATCAAATATCAATATGCTTTAGTCAGATCATGATTTTATGAACTGTGATTTTACTCATCAAACAGATACTCTGCATATTACATTTCAAATATACAAACATATCTGGATATTTGATGTTGATATGCAAAGGGACTCTTTAAGTGTTTTCCTTATCATATCTTCTTTATGCTTTTTAGGAAAGCGATGATAATGGTTTCAAGAGGGACTCTTTTAGAAAAGTGTAGCTGAAAAAAATGTGGTTCAACCTCGCTTATGATAAATATTTACTGCTACTTCTGTGTAGATTTATGGAGCTTTCTACTTCATTGTCATTTCTGAAGGAAGAGGCCTCCTTCCTGCTTACTTTTTTTAAACATCAGACATAATGTGCTTATTAGAGTTTTTTTATATAAACAGGAGAAAAGGAATCCCAGATACTGGCAACGCAAGGTAAGTGTTGTCCGGCATTAACCTCATTGACTTCATATCATATATTCATATTGCTTGTTGATAGTCAAGTAGTCGTACTGAATTAAGTCTCCATAGTTCATTACACATGCACGATGACAGTTAGTTTTCTGATATGAATTTTCTGATTTATGCTTACTAACTTTAATTTTTGGGCATAATTAATTCATGTATTTGCTAACAAGAACTGAAACAAGCTAACTTAGCTAATAATGACTAAAAGATGCTGATTTAGCTAATGTGTTTGTTGTATGATTTGACATTTGAGTGTGCAATCATTCCCTGAAATCTTTAGTTGGGTATTCATTTTGTATATACAAACCGAGGTAGTCGAATAGAAGAATTTTGGTTTTTTTTTCCGTCTATTGTATATCCTCTATATGTGGTTTTAATTTTTGTTTCCCATGTTTCGCAGGTGTTTATCTGTTAACAGAAGTGTTGGTCATTGGAGAATTCAGGTGAGCTTTGTTGCTGTGTATTTTGGATCTCAATGCATTAGTGTGCATTCATGTGTTTTGATGGTGTTCCACTGTTTATTGATTGGTTCTTTTACATGGAGATATTATAAAATTGTCCATGAAAATATGTATCCTTTTGGAAATATGATATAATCTTTCACTAAATTATGGCTTCAGTTTGTATTATCTTTTATGTGAATCATGATAATTCAAAACATGCTTGGGTTGGGTTTCTGCGATGCTACTAAAATGAAGTCACTAGTAGAAATACACATATGAAAATATGATTTAGATAATAGCTTGTACTAAGAAATATGATACTCTACTTCGATAACTCCTTGCCTTATGCATAACCGTTCTTCATTTTGCAGCATTCCTGGCTATAATGAGGCATTCTGGAAGGAGTTGGATGGTGTCAAGCAAATCTGGAAGAACAGAAAGGAACTCAAATAGATTAATAATCATGTATCGATGAATTACATTCTTTCCTAGAAGTGTCATAGCCATTGTAAATAATTTATGTAAACGTTTGTAAATAATTTATGTATCTCTCTACTATTTTGGTGAATGTATTATTTGAATATAATTCGATTTGATATTGGAATTAATTAGATTGTGTTGGATATGAATATAATTTTTTGTTATTCAAGATTGTGTACATACACTCAAAGTAGATTCTGCAAAAAAAAAAAAAAAAAAAAAAAAAAAAAAAAAAAAAAAAAAAAAAAAAAAAAAAAAAAAAAAAAAAAAAAAAAAAAAAAAAAAAAAAAAAAAAAAAAAAAAAAAAAAAAAAAAAAAAAAAAAAAAAAAAAAAAAAAAAAAACACTGTAGCATAGTATTCTAGACGGAAATTCCGTCTAGGATGCTTAAATTCCGTCTAGAATACTTTTTAAAAATTAAAAAAATAAAAAAATTTAAAAAATCAAATTCCGTCTAGAATAAGATTTCTAGACGGAAACAAACTAGACGGGTATTCTAGACGGAATTCCGTCTAGGATACACATCCTAGACGGAATTCTGTGTATCCTAGACGGATTTTTCCGTCTAGGATGCCTCAAATTTTAGCAGTGAGTACTATGTAGGTTGAACTTGATCAACCTGACATTGTAGATTTCTGTTTTCTTCTTGTCTTTCTTCTTTTTGTTTTCTATTGTTACTATCTTGTGAGTTTATTGTTTGACCTCCTGATTGCAGAGATCAAAATCGGAAATCGTCAATTGCTAACAAGAGTTTAATTATCTGAATCCTAGAAATTGCTCAATCTTATCTGCATTGAAAATTTGATTAAACCTTCAATTCCAGTGAATAATTATCAGGTTAATCAAGGGAATCTTGATCTATAACTTTGCATGACATAAAATTTATTTTAGAGCAATAATTAGATGAATCACGGGAAAGGCTAGGTGCTGGAACCTATATGTTTCTAGTGAGCTAAATAAAAATAAGGCCACTGAGCTAGATAAAAATAAGGCCACTCTTACACGTAAGCTATAGCAGAAGGATGAACCCCATTAGCTCACAGAAGATTCTTGCTGCTAGGTCACAGTCACGAGTGAACTTTCAGTGGTTGCATAAATAATTATGAGGTACAATTTCTTCTAAAAGAAAATTATGAGGTACAAATTGTAGTAAGAGGTATAATTGTTGCTTTCATGAAACTGAGATATCATAATTGTACTTGCATGAAACTACAACTACGGTGATAATTATTTGGTTTAATTTTAAAATGTTACAACCCTTAGTTGTAACTAGTCATATAACTTGATTTTACTTTTAACAAATAGAAAATAAATTATTTTAAAAAGTTTTTGGTCTTTTCAAATATAAGTGCTTTTTTAAAATCACGAGTTTGAACTTCTATAGTAGTTGCTTTCTATTTCTCTAATTGTAGCTCTAATTTTTTTTTCATCTGCTTATTATTTATAGAGGAACAAGAATAATTTTACAGATCTGGTTAATTTTGTTATTTACTGGAGGATGGGGCTTGAGAACTTGCAAGGCAAGAAAAATATATATTGTTATGAATAGTGTATAATTTGTTTGCTCTTTCTGCCCTGAAGACAAGACTTGGGGCTTGAGAACTTGCAAGGCAAGCAACATATCGTTATGAATAATGTATAATTTGTTTGCTCTTTCTGCCCTGAAGATTAGACATGGACCAATGGAGATCCATTGGAGCATGCAAAGAGGAACTCTGCCTGGACAAGCATTTCGCCAACGGAGCAGGTGGAACACAGCGCATTGAAGGATTATTTGCACAATAATGACCTCTCTGCCTTAAATCCTCTAAGACTTTTACTATTGTATTATGTTCAACTATTTTTAAAGAATTTTTGTCTTAATTTTGTAAGAGGCTGCATCCTCCTTTTGGTGGATTAGATGTAATGCTAGTGTTATGCTATTATTTTTAAGTATTAGTTGTGTTGGCTTAACTATTAGGTGTCTAATCCTTGAGCATATTTTCTCTAATCCTAAACATGGTATCATACATAAATAAGTTTTGTAGTATATTATTGGACAACAAAAATGCATACTTTCAGAAAGTGTGAATTTTTTTTCTTTTTAACAAAGTTTTGTATTGTGAATAAATTTTCATGTTAAATTTTACTATAAAAAACAAAACAACAAAATATGATAAATGAAATTGAATAAAAATAAGATAAATTTTCTTGTTAAATTTATGAAAAAATATTTTAATCAAATTAAATTTATGTTAACAAAAAAAATTTAGGTACAAATAAGCTTGATATAGCAATAAACGTATATTTTGTAAACTGAATCTAACTATACGAACAAAGAGGCCAACGAATTTTGAGGGAAACTAAGATTCATATGAAATAATGGTAAAGTATGTAAATTAAATCAAGTGTAAGGGTAAAGAAGGAACTAATATTACCTTAGAAATAAGCTTAAGAAGGAACTAAAATTACATTAGAAATAAGCTTTGTATGAAATAAGGGTAGAATTTGTAATTTAAGTCAAATATAAGGGTAAAGAAAGAACTAATTAAAGTACATGTGGCATACTTCATAAGAAATAGGAAAAATTGCTTCTAGGCTCCAAAATCCAACTTTCAATGTGCCCCAGTCCCCCATATTTTTTTAAATGTGCTAAATTTATTTTAGGCAATAATTAGATGATTCACGGAAGGGCTAGGGTGCTGCGAACTATATGTTTCTAGTGAGCTAAATAAAATAGGGCACTTGGTAGATAAAATAAGGCCACTCTTCCGTAAACTATGCAGAAGGTGAACCCATGAGACTACAGAGATTCTTGCCTGCTAGGTCACAGTCACGAGTGAACTTTCATGGTTTGCATGAATATTTATGAGGCTACATTTCTGTCTAAAGAAAATTATGAGTGGGTAAAATTGTAGTAAGAGGTATAATTGTTGCCTTCATGAAACTGATGATATTCATATTGTATTGCTGAAACTTACAAACTACGGTGTATATCCCCCGCGCAGTTAGTTTAATTTTAACAATGTTACACCTTAGTTTGTAATAGTCTATAAATTGATTTTACTTTAACAAATAGAAAATAATATTATTTAAAAAGTTTTGGTCTTTTTCAAATATAAGCTTGCTTTTTTAAAATCACGACGTTTGAACTTCTATAGTAGTTGCTTTCTATTCTATAATTGTAGCTCGAAATTTTTTTTCATTGCTTATCTATTGTATAGAGGACCAAGAATATTTTACAGATTGGTTAATTTTGTTATTTACTGGAGCCCGATGCGGCCTGAGGAACTGCAAGCAAGAAATATATATTTTAAGAATAGTGTATAATCTTGTTTTCGCTCTTCTGCCTGAAGACAAGACTTGGGGCTTTGAGAACTTGGCAAGGCAAGCAACATATCGATTATGATAATGTATAATTTTGTTTGCCTCGTCTGCCTGAAGATTAGACATGACAATGGGAGATCATTGGAAGCATGCGCAAAGAGCGAATCTGACATGGACAAGGCATTCGCAACGGGAGCAGGTGAACACAGCGCATGAAAGGATTATTTGCCACAATAATGCCTCTCTGCCTTAAATCTCTAACGTTTACTATTGTATTATGTTCAACTATTTTTAAAGAATTTTGTCTTAATTTTGTAAGAGGCTGCATACTCCCTCTTTTTGGTGGATTAGATAGCTATGCCTAGTGTTCATGCTATTATGTTTAAGTATTAGTTGTGTTGGCTTAACTAGTTTAGGTGTCTAATCCTTGAGCATAATTTTCTCTAACTCTAAACATGGTATCATACTAAATAAGTTTTGTAGTTATATTGGACAACAAAGAATGCATACTTTACAGAAAGTGTGAATTTTTTTCTTTTTAAACAAAGTTTTGTATGTGATAAATTTTCATTTAATTTTACTATAAAACAAACAAAAAATGATTGAATCAATGAATGTGAATAAAAATAGAAATTTTCTTGTTAAATTATGAAAAAATATTTAATCAAATTAATTTATGTTAACAAAAAAATTTAGGTACAAATAAAGCTTGAATAAGCAAATAAACGTTATATTTTGTAAACTGAATTAACTATACGAACAAAGCAGAGGCCAACGAATTCTTGATCGAACTAAGACTTCATATGAAATAATGCGTAAAGTATGCTAAATTGAATCAGTGTAAGGGTAAAGAAGGACTAATATTACCTTAGAACATAAGCTTAGAAGCGAACAAAATTACATTTGAAATTAAGCTTTGTATGAAATAAGGGGTAGATTTGTAATTGTAAGTCCAATATAAGGGTAAAGCAAAGCAACTAATTTTAAAGTACATGTATACCTCATAAGAATATGGGAAAATTGCTTCTAGGTCCAAATCCACTTTCAATGTGGGGGCCCAGCCCCCCCCCCCCCCCCCCCATCTTTCAACAAGTGTCGCGTTAGCCCTTTTTTGAAAAATTTATGTCCAGGTCCCCTCTCCTCAAGTTACAATGCAACCTCTTTTCACCCCTCCCCTAATCAATCCCCGATTTTACCCCTCTCCTCACCTCTTCCTCCTCCTCCGTTCCTCTGTTGCCCCTGATCCCCCGACCTCCCTCGCAACTCGCCTCCTCCCTCGCTCGCGCACGCCAGCGCTACTCTCAAGCGTTTGATCGCCTTCCTCCCCGCTCGCCTGCTCCCCTCCCCGCCGTCCTCCTCCTCGTTCCTCCTCTGTCCACCCCCGCCTTCCTTCCCCAGCTCCCGCCTCCCGCCTGCTCCGTCGCGCAAACACCTTCCTAAGCGCCTCCGTCGCCAGGCCGCCTTCCAAGCGCCGCCGCCTCCTCCCTCCCCCACTGCACCTCCCCCTACACCTCCCTCCTCCTCCTCCGGCCCCCCTCTGCCCCCTCCCCTGCTCCGTCGTCGGTGCCGTCCCGAGGAACTTCACGTGGCTGGTGGTGATCATGGTTATTATATTATCATGTTAACTCTTAGGGTTAACATGTTAACTCTTAGGGTTAACATGTTAATTTTTACGATTAACATGTTAACTCTTAACAGTTAACATGTTTTTCTTTTTGGTCAATGAAAAAATATTTTATTCATCACCAAGTTTTGAAATGAGAGTGCTACAAAAACTACTAGA